ATTGCTAAATTTTTTTAACTCTTACAAGAATTTTAGAAAAGAGGTTCACCGAGGGTTAAAAGAATCAATAAAAGTTTAACAAGATAATCCAAGTGAAACAATTAGAACTACTTGGGTCTATCCACAACTAGGCTATATTTAGCGCACCTAACCACAATTAACACACTCATGGAAGGGGAGAGTCTTGATAATCAAGCCCATCAACAAAGTCCAATCAAGGTCCCACTTCTCGGCTCAGATTGCTGTGTTGTAATTTGTCCCAAGATTATTAGTCGTAACACATAAATTAAGTTAGCATAAACAAATGAATATAATTGATGGCGCACAAGTATTGGGGGAAACAAAGGAAAAATGATACAGACCCCTTTCTTATAAAAGAGAACTGCTATTTGGGTCGCACTTTAACCCGCGAGCCAACTCGTTGTTTCTGTGCAAGTTGGCTTGCGCGTTAAAGCGCGAACCAAAAAGCGTTTTTGCTTATAAAAATGGAATGTCCATACCTAGCCCTCAGCGCAAATTGTTATGGTGTAATTTGTCCCAGATTATTAGTCAAAACTCATAAAGTTGATATGAACAAATGAACGTAATTAGTGAGGGGGGAGAAAAGGGGGAAAAAAACTTTAAGGCTCCCTTGTAGAAATAGAATGCACCCTCCACTTAGAGCAAGTGCAGCAATCTCCTAGTAGAGAGTTCTTGTTGGAGTGCTCTCAAGCATGGGGCCCACTTAGGAGCTTCCTAAGAGCAAGGGCAGCAACCTCTGAAGGAGCCTCTCAAGGCTGACGTGGTCGTGGAGCTTGGCAGCCCTCCCTCCAGCAAACTCCCAACGCCTCCCAAGCCCCTCTCCTAACGCTGAGCTGGCGTTGGGGAGCTTCCGAGCTCCCAAGCGCTCCACAAATTTGTGGAGCGCTTGGGAGCTCCCAACTACAGCAGAATTTTACAAAAAACCCTATTTAGCAAAAACCCTTACCAGCGATGATGTCGAGGGTTTGGCGGCAACGATGATGTCGAGGGTTTGGCGGTGAAGAGGCCTCCGACGTCGTTGCCAGCGATGATGTCGAGGGTTTGGCGGCGAAGAGCAGGATGCAGGTCGTTGTCGAAGGGTGTGATGACGTCGTCGCCGAAGGGTGTGCGGTCGTCGTCGCCGAAACTTGCTCGTCGCCGCAGCATAAACAAATGAATATAATTGATGGCGCACAAGTATTGGGGGAGACAAAGGAAAAATGATACAGACCCCTTTCTTATAAAAGAGAACTGCTATTTGGGTCGCCCTTTAACGCGCGAGCCAACTCGCTGTTTCTGTGCAAGTTGGCTTGCGCGTTAAAGCGCGAACCAAAAAGCGTTTTTGCTTATAAAAATGGAATGTCCATACCTAGCCCTCAGCGCAAATTGTTATGGTGTAATTTGTCCCAGATTATTAGTCAAAACTCATAAAGTTGATATGAACAAATGAACGTAATTAATTAGTGAGGGGGCAGAAAAGGGGAAAAAAAACTTTAAGGCTCCCTTGTAGAAATAGAATGCACCCTCCACTTAGAGTAAGTGCAGCAATCTCCTAGTAGGGAGTTCTTGTTGGAGTGCTCTCAAGCACGGGGCCCACTTAGGAGCTTCCTACTAAGAGAAATATTCTAACAAACTCCCAATTAGGAGCTTAAATATTATTTTAAAAACCCATTCTTCTACCTCTAACATTTTATAAATATATTTTAAAACAATAAATCTAATTAAAAATATTTTTTAGTGGGCCCCACCCCTTAAGAGCTCCCAAGTGCTCCACAAATTTGTAGAGCTCTTAGGAGCTCCATGGTGGACCACACCGCCAATTAGGACTTAGGAGCCTTTTTGGGAGCTTGTTGTAGCATGTTGGGAGCTTTTCCTTGCCACATCACCCTTAGGAGCTTCATTGGGAGGCTGCTGCACTTGCTCTTATGACTTAGTCAATGCATGCTCCCATCTCAAAAGGGAAAAGTAAATGTGATTAGGTCTAAATAAGTTATAGTTGTTAAAGATAGGAGTTGGATGTTAGACATAAAAGTTAGATATTAAATCTTAAGTTTATCTCTAACTTTAGACGTTTACTTGTAGCTATAATTGCATCTACGTCTATGCATTCATCAATGCTATACTCAAAGGCAATCATGTTATGAAGCTTACAGTGGAAATACAACTCCCATGAACTATTGTTACGGTTCAGTATTTTTATAACTCTCTATTAGAAATAGAGACAATGATTTTCATTAGTTAGGATTTTTTTTCCCCTCCAAATAGTGTAGAACTTATGATTATTTAATCATATTATTAGCTTGTTTTGTGTAAAAATATCCAGCTAATGATCTGTTGTGTTATATTCCTAATTCTACTTAAATGAAGCCATGCGAACCAAATCCACCTTGAACCCCGTGTCTCCTCCAGCCTCTTGGTTCAAATCCATTACTTAATTAACCATCACCTTGATCAACCTTGTTCCCGTATAATTACTTACGAAAATGCTATTTGGCACGCAATGTGGGCGCGCAGCCCATCTCGCGTGCCACAACAGGGGGTGGGACCCACAGTGTGCCAAGTAGCAAGGTTCAATTACTTAGACCATCTCCAACGCGACGCTATTTTGCCGCAAAAAGCGGATTTGCCGCTGCTCCGAAGCTCCAACGCGGCGCCAATTCTCGCTGCATTTTAGCGGGGATGAACAGCGCGACGCTATATTTGGCGTCGCACTGTTCATCTCCGCATTACTGTTTCTTTTATTTTTTTTAATTTTTTTTTAAAATTTTACCTCATATTTTTATGTATTTACAACTTGACCCCAATTATTTTATTACATGTATAAAACAACCCTAATAATATTTAAATTTTATAATTTTACCCCAATTATATAATTTAGACAAAATAAATTATTTTTTAAAAATAAAAATAATGCTGAAATTTAAAAGACATTATTATTAATTATAATATTAAAATCTAGATATTAAGTAAAGTCCCATGAAATATAAAGAGCAATCCCAATACATAATTCAAGTATAATTTACATATCTGAAATACATAACATATAAAAACTGACACGCATAATATAAAACTTCATTAAAATAAAACATAAAATACAAACTAAACATAGAACATTTCCTGAGATGGACAAGCAACTCTCAATAATCTGGTAGATCGGGGCCAGAGTGTCCAATATCATTGAAATAATTGCCAAAATTAGAAGCAGACCCTTGTTCTTGTTGATTTCTTTTTTGTATTATTTTAATCTGTTGAGCTCGAACGTACTCACGCACGTTTGGATCAGCAATGAAATTCAAATCTTTCATTATAATTTTTCATTCATCTCTATCTTTTTTCATGGCTATCTTTTCTCGTTCGATATCAAACGCTACTTGCCTGTCCAAGCTCGCCTTGTCTAACCTGTCTATAAGTCGATTGTTGGAGGTCTCGATGGAGTCCACTACACTTGACTCATGATCATCATTTTTCCTTTTCAATTTAGCTTTTTTTACCCCAATAGGTCGTTCAGATGGAGTAAATGATGACAGTCCAGGAGATGTTGATATAGGAGATTCCGGAGTGGGATTATCTGATTGTGACGAGTCGAAGTTCACACTTTGGGATTGTCTTCGACCAACTTGTCTTGCTGTGGGGACATCATCTTTGAATTTTTCAAAATTTTTAACCATATTCCAGACATGATCAAATTTGAAACCTTTTTTGTACTTTGGTTCTTGCATAAATAACATCTTTGCTCGAACTAACTGCAAAATATAGTGAACATCAAGTTATGTTTTTCAACAATAATAATAAATTTCAAACGATAATTAATAGAATACTTACAATATCTTCATCTGAAGCACCACTTGGATTCAGATTCTCTACTTGTCTCAAGCACGCATTCAATTTCCTTACTTCATTACTTATGATTTCCATTCGAGAACGAATTGATCGGCTCGTACGCATCTCAAAATGCTGATCTCGAAGTTCATTGTATTTGTCCTCCACACGAGACCAAAATGCATCTCGAGACTGGTTTCTACCGATAATAGGGTCTTGAGAAATATCCAAGAATACTTGACAAAGGAGCACATCTTCAGTAACCGTGTATCCAGTTAATCGAACAGACATTTTTTTGTAAAAAGCGGTTGGTTTGGAGATCAGAAATACTTTGAAGAAATACTTCGAATTGGGTGGCTTGAAGTAGAAACCGTGAATGTTATTTATAGCCAATCCAAATTTGTTTTTTTTGTTTGAATTTGAATTTGAATTTGAATTTGAATTTGCGGTTGGTTTGAATTTGTCGGTGGTCAACATTTGAAATTGAATCATTTTGTACAAACTGATCAGCTTTACACATTATCCAACGTTGTCGGTGGGAATCAATTTTTGAAATCAGGTCAGCTTTACACATTGTCCAACGTATACACAGCTCAGCTCTCCTTGAATTGTGTGAAAGCTTTGTACGAGTGGGAATCAATTTTTGAAATCAGGTCAGCTTTATACATTGTCTAACGTATACACAGCTCAGCTCTCCTTGAATTGTGTGAAAGCTTTGTACGAGTGGGAATCAATTTTTAAAATCAGGTCAGCTTTACACATTGTCCAACGTATACACAGCTCAGCTCTCCTTGAATTGTGTGAAAGCTTTGTACGAGTGGGAATCAATTTTTGAAATCAGGTCAGCTTTACACATTGTCCAACGTATACACAGCTCAGCTCTCCTTGAATTGTGTGAAAGCTTTGTACGAGTGGGAATCAATTTTTGAAATCAGGTCAGCTTTACACATTATCCAACGTATACAGCTAAAAGCAAATTTGAATTTTGTGACAAATTGATAACAGCTGGAAAGCATTTCCTAAAATCAGCTCAACTTTACACATTGTTCAATGTATACAGCTAAGCAAAGTTTTATAAATAGCATACTAGATTAGGTACATCCACACAATTACTCATTGTTGTGTTAAAATTATTATTCTCCATTTCTGCATACTTCAGTCATTCTTTTCTTACTTCAAAAATGAATTTCGATGTTGGAGGTCCATCATACTTATCATCATCTTCATCTTCGGATGATGATAATTTTCTGTCCAATATCATTGCAGAGATTGATGAAACCGAAGAAGTAATTTGTGAGTACATCAACAACAACATGATCCTCGTTAACAATTTACGTCAACACAACTACCAACCGATCCATGGTGGCTCGATTCCCGGTCATGCAGTGATCAACCGCGATCGAGAAAATGCGCATCAGAATTTGGTCATAGATTACTTTGCCGATAATCCACGTTTTGGAGAAGATATGTTTCGTCGTCGATATCGGATGTCAAGAAGTTTGTTCCTTCGTATTGTTGATGCAGTGAAAGATCATGACTATTACTTCCAACAACGAAGTGATGGACTTGGTAGAATGGGATTATCACCGTTACAGAAAGTAACAGCTGTTTTTCGCATGTTGGCATACGGTCTACCAGCTGATGCTACGGACGAATACGTTAAAATAGGTGAGTCAACAGCAATTGAAAGTATGACAAAATTTTGTCGTGCTATGGTGGAAATATTCGCAGAGCGGTATCTACGAACACCTAACGCTAACGATATTGCTAGGCTACTCTATATTGGAAAAAAAACGTGGTTTTCCAGGAATGTTAGGAAGTCTTGATTGTATGCATTGGAAATGGAAAAATTGTCCAACAGCATGGTCTGGGCAATACACAGGACGTAGTGGGTCACCAACTATTATCCTCGAAGCTGTGGCAGATTATGATCTTTGGATATGGCACGCATATTTTGGTATGCCAGGCACCAATAATGATATCAATGTGCTGGAGTCATCTAATCTTTTCTCTAACCTAGCTCAAGGTATTGCTCCTCCCGCTCACTATGTTATTCAAGGAAAAGAGTATAATATGGGTTATTATTTAGCTGATGGTATATATCCGAAATGGGCTACTATTGTACAAACAATCCAACAGCCACAAGGTAGGAAGAAAAAATATTTTGCCATGAAACAGGAAGCATGTAGAAAAGATGTAGAACGTGCGTTCGGAGTTCTCCAATCACGATTTGCAATCGTGGCAGGATCAGCACGTTTTTGGAAAAAACATGTATTACATGACATAATGACTGCATGCATTATTATGCACAATATGATAATCGAGGATGAACGTGATCTTTATGCACCAATTCAAGAAGTGAGGGAAGCACCAACACCAGAAGTTGATATGGTAGCAGATGAAACTACAAGATTTACTCAATTTATTGCACGTTACGGAAAAATCAAGGATAAAGATGCCCATATTGCGCTTCGTAATGCATTGATAGATCATCTATGGGAGGAATACACTAATTCAGATAGTTAAGAGCATACTAAATTTGTAATTTTTACATTGTTGTTAATGTTTAAGTATTTTCTTATATTTTATTTTCTGTTGTGTTCTTGAATGTAATATTTTGGCAATATTAATAATAGGTATATAATATTTTATTGTTTTATTAGTTTAATTTTTTAAATAATAAATCATTTTGTTTGGAAAATATGTGAAAAAATAAAATTTGATATGTGAGGTTAATTGTTGAAATAGTTAAAAATATAGGGAATAAAAAATAATCATATAAAAGTAGATAAAAAGAAAGATACTGAGAATATTCCTTTTTGGTGCAAAAAATGGTGCAATGGGTTGGAGATGAATTACTGTTAGATGTGACTTTTGCACCATTTTGATGCAAAATTTGCACCATTTTGAGGCAAAGGGTTGGAGATGCCCTTATGGCACAGATTTGAAGGAGTCCCTGTGATTCCCTCTCGTGTAACGTCCGAGCCTAGCTACCCAATCAATTATTTGGGAATTACGTTATGAGATGTTAGTTTCATTAAATAGATTTCCTTGTTTTTTCAGGCTGTTAGCTAACCAAACAGCCACTATTATTATATCATCATGCTGTCGTTTTAGATTGTACATATTCATATAGGAGCATTGAATACAATGCGATACAATGTTATGGGCTCTTTAAAAGAGACATTATTGTTTTTAATGGACATAATAATTTAAGCATACTTTACTATGAATACGATTAAGATAGTTTGCTCATCATCAAATATGATGTACATTATGCGTTTGTTAATGGATTCATAGTATAATACAAACCAACTCTTAAAAATAATATTATACATAATTCTGCAGTCAAAGCACTAGGAAAGTGATGCCAATGTAGATATATTATATATAGATACGGGAAATGTTAAGTGTACTATAAAAATTATACTACTTTCTTATTAATAGACAAAAAGAAGTATGGTGTATAGGAGCTCATAATTTCTCTTTGCAATTTACAAAAAAGATCTCATGTTTTTTTGGTAAATAGTCATTTTTTTTATTACTGATGATACTAGTATTGTAGGCATGCCGGATTTAAATGGGGTGCACTTGCACCCTGAAATTTTGTAAATTGCTTATGATCCTTTGTATAATTTATAGTTTGTCCTCTCATATATTTTAAAATTTGTACCCCAACCTATTCAAGAACACTAAATAAGTTAATATCAAATTAAATTAACCTATTGGAAAGTAAAAGTGCATTTAACTTTTCAACAATCAAACGTCAAATAGGCTTAACGGAGCTTATAAAGTCTACCAAGTGCATTACAATATTATATCTTTATATGTAGATAAATAAATACTTATTGTGGAAAAACTTAATGACTCGACCACTTATTATAGGAGGTGCATGTTCAATTTCTAGAGGAGATTACGATACTAATATAAAATTAGGAAATAATAAATTAGTAATCTCGGTGGTTTATCTCCAATTAAACTTTTTAAAGTGGTGTTTAATTGGGAAAGTTCTAGAGTCGAGCTGGAGATATCGAGTAGAGATAACTACGACATCTTGCGGAAACAATAAAAGAAAACCGAAAATTAATAAAGAGCAGCTAAGGAAGCATCGTAGAAAAGAGGGGTCCGAATAAGTAACGACCTCCTAACATCCTCAACAATTTTATATTGGTCCCTCAAATCTTTATCATTGCTCACAAATCCCTTTCAATCCTGCAGGGTCCTCCCCATTGGTTCACCAGAATGCCTCCCAGCTTATGCTTTGTGAAAAAGACATATTTTAGCGAGGACATAAATGGACAAAGTTTCAAAACAGTCATGTTTACAATAATAATCGCAAAAAAAATCCATTTTCAACTTATTTTCAGAAACATACCTGGTTTTAGCCTCAACGTTGAAACCATGTCGGTTTCTGGAAAAAAAAAATTCGAAATTTCACGAGAGTTGAACTCCCGTGAAGTTTAGTAACCTGGTTTCAGCGCTGAGGCTGAAACCAGATCGGTTTCTGAAAATATGTTAGAAACGAGTCTTTTTTGGGATTAAAAGTCCAAAGAAGACTGTTTAAAAATTTGTCCAAACATAAATTGAAGGCAGTAATGGTCACTAGTAATCAATTTACTGGGACTACTTAGATTGTAGGCGCATAATGCACGTGATATAAGAAATAGAGTAGCTTCAAAAAGATAAATACAAAAATAATTTATGAAAGAGTGATTTTTATAAAAGACAAATCTGCAAAAGTAATTTTATGTTTCTTTATTAATATATTTAAACTGTTAGCATGCATCTTCTACTTAATTATGGGGTAAAGATTTTTTTCTTCCAACTATGACTTTGTATTTTTTTTCCTTTTTACTCTATACTTAATTGAATGTCAAAAGACTTTCTCGTATCAATTTCCGAATAACTAGTTCTCAAATCTTGCTCTGATTCGGGAGTTTTAAGTCAGAACCCAAAGATATCAGTATATCACCGATTTACGAAAGAGCTTTGTTACAGGGACCCAAAATATAGGACTAATAGGGGGGACAAGTGAGGTGTCCCCCTCCTATTGGATAATGAGTTGGTCATCATTGGATAATGAGTTGGTCATCATTAATAATGATCAACTCATTATCCAATATGAGGGGGACACCTCACTTGTCCCTCCTATTGGTCCCATATTTTGGGTCCTAAAGGAATTTTTCTTTGCGAAAACCCCTTAAAGACTCGAGTGACTTGGGAGCAATATGAAGCATGTGAGGGACTAAAAGAGAATTAGTAATATTTGAACCCATCAATTCTTCATGTTGGTTGTTCAAGCAGGCTAAGCAATCGCGGTGGTGGCCCCCAACAAGCCGACTGTTAACTTTTTGCCTCCATTTCTTTTCTCACCCCCCTTTTCCCCCCTGCTTTTCTATCCCTCCCCTCAAGAGCCCCGAGCACGCTTTCAAAAACTCGTACGGACCCTCCACCAACTTCTTCTTCATCAAGAATCAATCTTTGGATCCAAGAATCAATCTTTGCGGCCTCGATCACGATGGGCTGCGCCAATCGAAGATCGAGAGCGAGGAATCGGTGACCCGATGCAAGGATCGCCAAGGAGTTCATGAAAGGCCCTCTCCTCCCGCAACGCCTTCCGCGCCGCACCTCAGCCTACCTCCGTCCTCCTCAACCAACACGGCGCCGCCCCGCACCGACTACGCCCACTCCGAAGCCGACCTCTTCGCTCAAACCCTCCCTCCTCATCCTCAACTCAGAACCCCACCCCCTCGTCAAGCCTCGTGCCCATCGACCTCCTACGTCGTCCATCGTCCGAACGCCCGCGGCGTCTGCGACGATGCGTCAGCGCCGGTCGACGCTCCGCTTGCTCCGCCCCCCCCGCTCCCGACTTCGCGCCGCTGCAGCGGGCGCGAACATGCCGGATTCGCCTATACTAACAGCAAGAAGCAGCCGCGCGAGTTAAAGCTCCGGCTGGAATGACGTCATCCAAGAGGAGGAGGGATGCTGACGATAGGATGAGGGCGCCGCGATGAGCCGCCGCCGCCCCAGCAGCACCAACCAAAACACGACGCAGCTCCGTCCTCCGCCGGTGGCCACCGTGCAGCAGCAGCCGCCTCCCGCCAGCGCGGAGAACGGCCTTCTGGCTGGGCCGGTTGCTCAGGCATTAATTTCTTAACACTGATTCACATGCCCGGCCTTCTCTGAGCCAGCCATGAACACGAGAGACCCCAGAAAAATCCAAAATCTACAAAGAGAAGGTGGTCATTGAGCAGCCCGCGAGTCCGACCCCGCTCCCGAGGCCAGAATGTAGGTTCCTCCGCCTCCGCCGGCACCAAAGCCGGCGAGAAGCAAGGTTCAGCAGCAGGCGGCGGTTACGGTGGGGGGAAGAGGGGAAGAGGGGAAGGGGAGTGGAAATAGTGTGAATGTTAAGAAGGTGTTTGGATGATATTGATGATCATTTTTTGAAGGCGTCAGAGAGTGCTCATGAGGTTTCGAAGATGTTGGAGGCGACCAGGATGCATTATCACTCAAATTTCGCTGATAATCGAGGTGAGACTGATCTTACTCTGTTTTCTATTTTAATTCAAGGTTATATTTCCATAGTTTGGGTTGTTATTGCTAAATGTGGAATGATAATTGTAGAAGGGAGACCTGTGCTTTTTGCCCATAGTTCTGTTGTTGCAGGCAGAACCCCAGAAAGATTTCTATGATTGCAAATAGATCCTTGAGTGAAAACACGTTGTTGCAGATAGATACGCTAGTTCAAAAATAAATAAATAAATAAAAATAAAAATAAAAACTCAGGGGGTCTGTCTGCAACAATAGAACTATGGGGAAGTAAGTTCAATTTGATGATAGTATTGGGGGTCTATCTGCAATTAGCCCAAACTAATATAGGAGAAATCTACATGGCTTGCATCAGCCATGATATCTTCCTGATGAACTTTTGATATTGAGAGATGAGTAGCCTATGTCAGGCTATGCAGAATTCCTTGTGAAGCCGAGTCATGTCAGACAGTGTTGGGGCTGACACGGGAATTATTACTTGTCATTGCCGTTTTGTACGTAGAGCTTTAGAATCTTTTGTGCATAGAGCTTTAGAATCTTTTACATGTTGGAGCTTCATTTTGTGTCATGTTGCGTTTGCTTGTCTGTACTTCTTAGATTTCAGGTCCTACTGAGGAAGTTCGAGTTGGGAGAGATTGCCCAATTATATTCACAACAATAGCTATGGTTCCAACCATATATTATCCGGGCGTTGAGAGATATTGCTCATTTCGTTTGAACTCTTTTTATTAGGCATGAGAATCTACTTTAACATAATTATTTTGGGGAAAAAAGTTTGTAACCAATTGTAGCTGCTGCACTAAATGACTATCGTATGAAAGCTATGAGTTACTTGGCCTTGATGGAAAGGCACATAAGAATAGTGATTAATGTTCTCTTTGGGTTGAAATTCACGCATACTCTGCTGGTAATAGATGGAGGTGACAAACTTTACTTAAAACCCTCCCCTTGTTAAGGAAACATTTGGAGCTCGTGCTTTGTATGAGCTTGAGCACCATAACAAAGAAAGTACCTTTATTCATCTTCTAATTAGATTAGGTAAGAGTAAACTTACTGGCAGAGGATTGAGGTTAATTTATATCAAGTGGTAAAATCTCAGCCAACCTCCCTTTAACTTTTCATCCGAAAACTGTGTTCCATGGTTAGTTAAACGCTGCTGGGAAACCTGGTGATGACAATAACAATTATTTCCCTCAGGTAAAAGCTAAAATTGTGTAATACTCTTTGTTATAGAGATCTCAGGCAGACTATTTGTTTGTGAATTATGTCCAAAGTTCCTTGGACTTTTCTCCCTGATTGCTGATTCAAGGATTTACTTATTTCCTAGTTGGATGACATGTGAAATAATAATGATGAACTGTTTTCTGAAACCAACCAGTACTATGGTTTCTTTTGGAATTAGTTTCTTATGCTTCGGAACCATAATTAGGTATCCTTTGAACAGTAGTAGGAGTGGTTTAATCTTTAAGAAGATGACCACTTTTGTATATTCCTTAGTCTTCTTTGACTTCCACTTTGCATTTTATTTGAGACAGGATGCAGTCCAATTCATATGTGATACTCTGAGGAAGTTGGATGAAAACAAACAATTGAATTGTTCCTTGCAGTTGCAAAAGAATTTTATTTTTCCCTTTCTCCATCTAGGAATGTGAGATTATTACTTGCTTCTACTATCCTTCCCAATTAAAAGAAAGAAATAATTCTTCTTACCCATTTTAAGTAGTTACATAATTACCACTTTTTCCTCACTGTATCCAAGACACAGCTCGCATTTTTGTCATGTAAAAAATAAGGATATGGACAATTTCTGACTTTACGAACTTCTTATTGAGAAAAATTGTGATTTCAATGTTAAAACATTTGGTGATTTCAATGTTAAATTTAGGTGACATCTATTTTGTTTGTGCTGTGTCTTGTCTGCCTCCATACCCTAAAACAGTGCAGCTAACTAAGCTCGAAATTTGTGCAGATTCTCAAACAACTATGGAAAGATTCAAAAGTCTTTTTTAGTTAGAAGTAGTCGGAAGTCGGAACTCCATTTTGTTCCAACTACATCTAAATTTCAAAAGTCTTTTTTCTTTAGATGTTGTTGCAACACCAAAATGTGGTTGCAACAATAAAATAAGCAAAAAATAGAGGTGTTGGAAACTCAAAGTTAAGAGTGTTGTAACACCCTCAGTTGGAACACCATCTACATTAGTTGTTCCAACTCTCTCTAACCAAACACACCATAATATCATATAATTTGAGATGCCAAAAATATCATAAATTTCAGTGTCATTCATAAATTTGGGAAACTAAAATATGATATTTATGTATGCAAGCCTTTCTTTCGGACCCAAGAATTTATGTAAAACTTTGGCATAAATTGATATATAGACACACTCATGTACGCACACATATTTTTGTATATATATGTGTGTGCGCGCGCGGCCGCACATTCACTGTTCAAAAATCTCAAAGCCATATAATGAATGAGATGGTTGCTGTGTAAGTAGTGACAGGCTCATGCCGGTCTAAACATTTTCTGTAAGTACACACCCACATGACAATAAAAGAGAAAACAAACCTTGAAGAATCAATATTTTCTTTTGAGCTATTGCTTTTTACACTGAGCATTTGTTCGCTTAAAAAGTATGTTAGGTTTCCATGTCACTCAAACTGGCATTGGTTTTCATGACAGCTTTTGTCCTTGCATATATGTTCTCTCTTTTTGGCAACTTTATTAATAATTTAATACTATGTTATTACCTATTCATGTTCACAGGACACATTGACCACTCTGCAAGAGTCATGCGAGCTATCACATGGAACAGATCATGTAAAGGCATGAAAGATGAGAATGATGGAAAAGATGATTTCGATAATGAGGAATTGGAAACTCATGCTACTATTTTGGACAAAATGTTAGCATGGGAAAAGAAGTTATATAAGTCTGATGTATTTTTATTTGTCTTTTTATTTTTTCCATTTTATCACTAGCTAATCCTGGGTTCTTTTCAGGGGAAAAAAGACTTTCTGATTATGTTACGTTATCTTTTTATATCTAATTTCGCAATTACTCAGTTAAAGTTTAGATCAAGGAGAGCATGATATGTTGCTAATCAATTCAATCTGTGGAAAGTGGTATTAGTTGTGAGAATTTAGGGGGGTAAAAAAGGAATTCAATCTGTTGCATGATCCATTTTAAAACTTTAACAGTTAATTTCCAATTGATTCCATCAATTTTGGGCTAGAAAACTGCACGCACTACTGTACTTTTCTCTAGGGACGTACTTTTAATGTGCCAATTTCCAAATAAAGCAACTAATAATAGATATCTGAGCAGTGGATCATCGCTTTTTATTTAAAACCTTGGTGAGGAAGCAGTAAAACATGTAACAATCTCCCGCCTTGAGTAACCACTCTTTAGATACGGTGCCTACTTGATAATTTTCAGGAAACCATATTGAAAGTACCAAATTATCAATTTATAGTCTTTAGATCAATCAACCTGAGCTTTTAAGCCTAAACTTATACTTGATAAGTCCACAGGACTCCCTTTCCTTGAAAGACACCGGTATACTTTTTGGATGTGCTACTAAATCTCATAAATGTATGCTGTTGTCCCTGCCTTGTTGTAATTAGTTTTATATAAACAGACGACACTGAGAATCATAAGCTATTTTTTCATCATAGATGCTGAGAATCATTGCCTTGCTTTTTTCCCCTCTGTTTTAAATAAACAGAAATGCTTACTTTCCTCTGTTCATTGCTTTGCCCGTTTAGACTTCGTAATTTGGCCTCTTACATTGTATATTATTTTTAGATGGAAAATTCTTGATACAAAACTTAAATCGTGCAGGCAGGTGAGCTAATGAAAATTGAATATCAGAGAAAAGTTGCTTTGTTGAGCAAGCAAAAGAAACGTGGTTCCAGTCATGAAACACTGGAAAAGACTAAAGCAGCTGTCAGTCATTTGCATACAAGATACATAGTTGATATGCAGTCAATGGATTCCACAGTTTCAGAGATCAACCGTCTAAGAGACAAACAGCTTTATCCGAAATTAGTGGCTCTTGTTGATGGGTAAGTTGTGTACTTTGTAAGTTTCAAGTCAAGAAAATTGCTACTGTCACATATTATGGTACGTAGTTTTTCTATTAGTGATTAGCGTGCTCCATTTTCAAAATGCTTTTTTGTTTCTTGAACTATTCTTTGGTGATTAATACTGGAGAATCTCCAGAAGACTGAGCATGGATGTCAACATTTGACCGTGGAGAGACTTAAAACGTATGAAAATCACTCCAGATATTACCTTGTAGTGTTGGTACATAAAACTTGAGATAGCCCACATGGCTAAGTATGCAAGCCCTTCACAATTTTTAATGGCACTTCTGTAGAGACTTTGAGATTCATGTTTTACCATAATTTTTCAGTTTTTCGTCTTTGGAATTGAGCTATCCAAGCAGACCAGCCCTTCCCGAGAAGAGCCAAAAGCGAAGGAGTTTCAGCAAGTAAGAATAAGATTAATGATTTGTGAAACATACCATTGACAACATGAATCCGCCTAGCAAGAAAGAAGACTCTAGTCTCATATCGGCCACAGTGGTTTCCAATCTTCACATGTCCCTTATTTCTGATGGTCTATAAGTATGAGTAGGCATGTCCTGGTGAAAACTCAATGTGATGACTGCAGCTGTAATGTTGTTGCTATTCTAATAAGAGTGCCAACTATTGTTGCTGTTATAGTAGTATCTAAACCAACATTTTCTTAGCTTCCCATCATAGTACAACAGGTCATATTATAGTTCTGGGCCCTTTCCACTGAGGTAACCTTTTTTTTTTTGGTTTCCTATTTCTCTTTGATGGTTCCTCCCTTAGCACTCATGGACTTAATGAACCAGCTCACTGTAATCGACTTCTGTCTGGTAACCAGCTCAGTGAAATCTTTATATTATTTTCCATTATATTTTGATATTTGATGCTCTTGAACCAGACAGATAAAGTAACTTCTTAAGCTGTAATGATACTCAGTTTGAGGTTCAACTCTTTTTAGCTGACACAAGCATCAGTGTCTTCCAATCCTTAGACAGTTCCAGTGGGTTTAGTAGCTGGCCTATCGATCAACAAATCTTCCCTCAGGTACCTTGTCTGCATAACTTTGCTACTTGTCTGCTTCATTATCCAGGCACTTTGTCAGCTATGACCCATTTGTCCGAATTTTGTGACTTGATTCTTCTAGTTGTTGGCATCATTCTTGGTATCTTGTCCACGTATACAATTTTCTCATTTCCAGGCTATGATGAGCACATCTTTGGTGGCCATCTCTTCCAGATGCAATTAAGGTCCTAAAAAGCACTTCAAATTTGTTGATCCAAGTTTTAGTGAACTTGCAGAGAAGTCATCCAGCATATGTATCAACCTCCATCCTGTACTATATCATTTCAAAGAATAATCAATCTGAGGAGTTACACGGAGAGCCCAGTTTCCTGCTGGAAGGGATGGTCATGGTCTATGATCAACTTCTGTATAAAGTAGGTATTGACCTTGGGCATAAAATAAGGCTTATGTCTTAGACTGTGGTTAGATACTAGAACCTGTTTGACAACCAAATTGATATTGAAGGGCTTTCTCCGCCTAGCGGTCTGCAACTGCCTTGAAAGATTATAGCCAGGCATACAGGCTAATCCAGCAGTTGAAATATGTAGCTAACGTGAACTATTGTGATAAAAGTATATTACCTTATTATTTCCATTATTCTCATTTTGTGTGTTTTGTTCTTGTTACATGCTCGGTCATTGAAAATTCATTGACATGCCATTGGTATCCAAGCTCTCGTTTCTATCATGTGGATTTAGCTTCAAGGAATATATCGAATGTAGCTGTGTTAGATTATGTCCTAAGGGCAATCAGATACTCTTTATTCTTCTTTTGTCAAGCATACTCAAGTTTCATGCTGCCTTCATCACAGGATGGCAACCATGTGGGAAAAAATGTTCATGCACCACAGCAGCCAGCTCAAGATCGCTCTATTGCTCAGAAACCTCGACATATCACTTTCTCCTAAAGAAACAAGCGAACAACACCACGAAACAACTCGTCAACTCTATAGCATCCTTCGAGAATGGCACGCTCAGTTTCAGGGTCTAATGAAGCATCAAAGAGAGTACATTCAAGCCCTCAACAGCTGGCTCAAGCTAAATCTTATCCCAATAGAAAGCAACTTGAGGGAGAGAGTCTCATCACCTCCAAGAGTAATCCGACCTCAAATCCAACCTCTGCTTCAAGCTTGGAACGATTTGCTCGAGAAACTTCCGGATGATAGGCCGAGAGGCATTATTCATACATTTGCAGAAGTTGTTCATACTATTATTATAATACAAGACGATGAGTTGAAACTTAAAGAGAAGTGTGATGAGACTCGGAGAGAGTATATTAGAAGAAGTCGGGCCTTTGATGATTGGTATCGTAAACATTCTGAGAAAAAGGCAGCAGCTGCTGCTGCTGGAGCT